TATTTAAGCTAGTCTTTTCTTTTAACTGTTGTTAAAAGCCCCAGTCTGGCTCTAAAAAATTTATTATGGTTGAAAGTTGCTTGATACATGAAAAACGGAGAATTTTTTTTTTGAAGTGGATGACAATAAATTTTTTTGTGTAACATTTATATTGAATGACACTTGATTTGCAATGTCCCACGACTATTAATATTATTAATGTTGACAATGTCGTTAAGAATTGTCCATAATAAACTGTTTGAAGCTTCTTTAAATATATTCCTTGGCATCAGCGGGTACTTGGAATTTTGTAGTGTATTAAAATGTTTGATAGAAGCTTTGCTGTCAGTGAAAATAGTGATCTGTGAGTTCTTTGGAGAAATTAATAATGCTATGATAATTGCTGCTACTTCAGCACATGTCGATGATGGCCACTTTTCTACTGTAGCAGAGAAAGATATTTGAGGAGCATTCAATGCTGTTTGTAGTATTATGAAGCTCATTGACATTTGTATAGTTCCCAATCCAACCAAAGAACCATCAGTGTAGAATTCTAAATTATTGGAATGCTGTAATGTTTGTTGGAAACTTAAAAGTTGAGTTAATAAGGGTCCATCTTCAATGAACCTTATCAACAAGTTATCTTGTTGTTGTTGAACAATGATATTAATAGAGTAATGAATTCTTTGTCAGATAAAAGATCCATGATAGAATGCAAACTGGTAAATTTCAAATAGTGGTAAAAATAATTGAAAACAATTAACGTCCAGTTTTTTTGTTCTTTGTAGCAGCACTGCATCAGCAGCTCTGTATTTATTATAACATTCAGTTCCTAAGTTGCTATGTATATTGCATCCTCGACAGGGTTCAATTACTGGAGCATTGATGAGCGATAGTGCATTATTAACATACCAATGTTGTATATATCAGAATCATATTGTTCGAATTATCTTTCTCTTGTATTTTTCCTATTACTGGAGTATTATTGTTGAAAAAAAAAAAGATATAAATTATACTTTATTCATATATTTTAAGTGAATTTTTTTTTGCAAATAAATATTATAAATTTTTATAATTATTTATAATATTTATATTAATACATGTGTAACATAATTTGTTATTGCATTCTATTGAAATTCTAGAAAGTGGATCATTGCAGTATTTAGAAATTCCATATTTGGAATATTCCCTGACTGTAATAATAATAACAAATTTTATATTGTGAGATAGTAAATCTTAGACCTATCAATCACCCGATTAATATTGACCAATTAGAACGAATTTACTACGGAAGTCATGTGATGCACTAAATATTACATCACGACTATACATGCAGCCCAAATTGGTTTGGTGATTTTGATGGTCAAAATTATTCCAATTTTGATGGTAGAAAGTAGAAATTAATTACGGCATTCACTATTAAAAAAATAAGTGTAACACCCCTTTACTACATGTGCAACCCCCTTTATGACAGCGTCAAAATACTTTGGGCTGCATGTATACCCGTGACTAATATAAAGGAAGGTCTTGTGATACTCTAATAAATAATATCATTCCGAAAGAAGACATTTATTGTCATCAATTATTGTATTAGCCACATTCCAAATTTGGAAAGATCCTTGACTGTATTAACTTATCAGCATGCCAATACCTCAATTAATTTTTTTTAAATAATATTGGTCAGATATCAGATTCAGATATTTCCTGATATTCCCATTACTCAATTTGGAATCATTCAACCAGTAAAAAGAGAACCATTAGATCATATATAAACATAGAAAGATGGGGCCCTAAATTAGCACAAAAGTAACAGTTTGATAGCTTAAATTGGCATAGTGGTACAGTCTTGGATTCCATGCAATTTTTTTTAAATATAATTAATTATACACCTTTAATAAAACAAACATGACTTAGCTATTTAATCATTTCCTTGTATGTGA